AGTCACAGAGAAGTCATTGATAAAAGGCCAAAGTAGAAGCTTTCTTGTGTTTAACTTTCGATTCAAGTTCCTGGGGTGTGGAACATAATGGGTTCTTATTCTGCACTTGAGAATTAACAGTATTTATTTCAGTACTTCTTTTAGAGGAAGATGGTGACTGTCTAAAATTTCTATATCAGTAAATATGTTTTCAAAATCACTGTAGAAAAACGTGTGTGACTCTTAAGGCAGTCAGATCCAAAGAGAACACAGGATGGACACATTTGTGCGGGTCCAATCTGGTGTTCTAAAAGTTCTAATCTGAAATTTGTATTTATTATTAATTAATGAGTATAAACTTGTGGATAAAATAAGACATTCACATTTAATATGCTGTTTTGACCTTCATTTAATGAGGCCTCTCCTTTACAGACCACCATTGGTGTGTGTGTGTGTGTGTGTGTGTGTGTGTGTGTATGTGTGACTCTAAGACAACATGGAAAAAGTTAGTTTTTGCTTCCCACATGCTCTGAATTGGCTATCAAATACTAATTTAATGACCTCCATATCTGAGATTTATATTTTACTTTTTTCTTCACTTTTTGTTCTAAACCATATGTGTCAATATTATCCAAGATTCCCTGCAAGTTTCCCCATAAACAGTTCTCATAAACTTACTACAATCAAAAATGCATAAATACATGCAAATGATAAACTGCTAGCAATGAAAAAGCACTTGATGTTTGAATAAGCATGTGGAGGCCATGAGATTCCAAGGTAAACAATTAAAGATCTCTTTTTAATTAAATAAAAACACAATTTTACATTCTTACCATTAACTTTTTTTCTTAATTCATTCGTTTGATTTTATGAGTTTTGTTGCATCTCCTTCACTAGCTTTTCTGAGGGATTTTTTACATCACATTGACAGCTTTAAGTTTTCTTCTTTCTCTTTCAGTTTTTTTCTTCCTTCCCTCCTTCCTTCCAGAAGATCTTGGGTGTAGGCCACAGGTGTGGAGGGTGTGGGGGTGAGAGGATTCACCAGAGACAGAGTGGGGAACAGAACAGGCAGACTGACTGTAATACACTGCTAAGGGGAGCAGTGGGCAAGTCAGGAGAGTTCTGCTGTGCCATGTGGGTAGTACCCTAGCCTGCAGGGGATTGAACTCATGCTGCTGAGCTGTGGATAGCTTCACAGTGCTGTACTTAACCCCTTGTGCCACCAGGGAGACCTGAGGTGTTCTTTTTTTTAGGTCTTGGTTGCCATGTGTTGAAAGCTTTTGGCCTGCCAATTTTGCTACTTCATAATTACTTATATTTAAATATAATATGTAACGATAACTTAGACAGTTAACCCTAGGCCAGCAGGAAGGCCCTTTAGAAGCTCTTTAAACATATCCTTCAGTTATAGTCATCTTGAAATTAGTTCTATTCATTAAATAGTTTTTCATGAGAATGAATTTATTTTGTCATCATATATAAAGGATATTTTTTTTTTAGAGATTTTTTTTGGAGGGCCTCCCTGGTGGCTCTGGGGTGAAAGTCTCAGTACTGTCAAGCAATAGCCATCCACTGTGGTATGAGTTGAACTCCAAGCCATGGAGCTAACCCACATGGCACAGCAAACCTCCCTGTCTCTCTCCCACTGCTCCCTTCCCCAGTGTGTCTCAGTAGACCTCCCTATTCTTTTCCCAACTCTGTCTCTGGTGAATCCTCTCACCCCCTGCATTTCTAGCTTAAACCCCACTTCTTATATGCATATAAATTTTTAAAAATCATTTAAAATAATGATTTTATATCTATGCATGCAGAACTGGGGTGTAGAGCAAAGGTGTGGGGGTGGGCTCATGAGAGGATTCACCAGAGACAGAGTGGGGAGCAGAACAGGAGGGTCTACTGAAATACACTGTTGAAGGGAGTAGCTGGGAGACAGGAGAGGTCTGTTAGGCCATGTGAGTCAGCTCCCTCTCTGGGGATGAAACTCAGGCCACATCTGTGATAACGCTGATACTTAACCTGAAAAGGGTATCTTTGCTTGTTATTGAGTTCCAATTCATCTATTGAAGGATCACTGGATATTCAAACTAGAAACAGTCACAAATTATATATGCATTCAAATGTTTGTATGTATATGTATATATATATATATATATACACATACCTTGTATGACTGTTTCTATATATATATCATAAATTATAGCAACTCTTATTATTTTGAATAATTTCTGAGACTTTATATTGTTTGACCATAGATTTCATCCTCACCAACACTTGATTTTTCTGATCTTTTTGATATAGAGCTCTCTCAGGTATGATGTGGTATCTCCTTGTGATCTTGATTTGCATTTCTGTGATAATAGACTTTTAAAAGTCTATTTTTTTCTACTCTCCCCAATTTTTGGTTCAGTGAGATTTTTGAAAGTTACTTTTGTAATTCCTTTACATAAGTAAAGTACCCTTAGGTTTTTATAATTTACAACAAGTATTCCTATTAAAACATGATTATAATTGGAGGATGAATGAATGAATGTTGGTACTATTTCAGTCACTGGAATGACAATATGCTTTAATATTGTTTTTTTTTTATCAGTGGTAATCTAAGCAGCTTATTTATAAAGAATAAAATTGAATTCAGCAATTTTAAGAACTAAGGAAGATATGTTGAGAAGTTTAGATATTGACATTTGCTATTATAGAAAATTTGGAAATGTAGTGATTTTTTAGAATAATTAGTGACAAACATCATTAAACACTTATTGGTAATAGATGATATTAATTTGTCCATTATAATATAAAATGATATAATAAGAGTATTGGGAAAAAGTATATAATGTCAAGATTTATGAATCTTGCTTTATAATAGAATTTAAACATCTGAGAGAGTCTTAAGAAGGCCTAAGTTTTCAGCATTTATGGTTGCTATGGAAACAAGTTACAAGCATGGGTGTTCAAGTCTTCTGTCCCCTGATATATTTCAGAGGCATTTGAAAATGAAAAACGTAAATGACACACTGTAAACCCATCATCTCCTATAGTCTGCAGGTGTGTGATGAGGTGAACTGTCTTCAAAATAGCCCAAGTAAACAATTTCCTGTTCAAACTGCTAGTGACACATTCATGAGAAATCTACTTTTTCCGCTCTTGCTTCACTTTGAAACTTCACAGGGCAGTTCTGAGCATCACAGATATTGTTTGTGATCACAGATCAGAGCAAGTGCTGGTGAGGATGTGGAGAAGAGGGAACCCTCCTGCACTGCTGGTAGGATGCTCTGTGGGCCAGTCCCTGTGAAAATCAGTATGGAGGTGTCTCCTCCTTCACTCAAGGATGCACAGCTTCCTAGCCAACAGAAGGTATGTGTTGCTCCTCTCCTCTCTTTCTGCTGGTCCATGTCTTTTAGTGGAATTTTATGAAGGTTAGATGTGAGGCAATTGATATACAATTCATATGTGATCAAATCAAAGAGAACATTGGTTTCTTTATTGAATAATTCAGGTAAAACACAAGAAGGGAATGAAATATTTTGAGGATTTCTCAAAATATTTGAATTCTTTCCAGAGGAGCATTAGTCAAGTATATAATATCTGTGCATAATTAGATTTGCAAATCAATGCCATTTAACTTGAAATTTCACAGATCATGACAAGGACAGTTTATTTTTGTAATTTGTAATTGATACAAATATAATTCTATGTATTTTTTGCATTTAATTCCATCTTTAAAATTAGACCCTTACATGAATTCATTCCACCATGAAGATCAAAGATAATACCACTTCTAAAAAGTCAATATAAAAGTTTTTAATGTTAACAGAAATCGAGATGAGATAGCTTCTATAAAATGCTATTTTGCAACTAAGTATAGAAAATGCTTAAAAATAAACAAAGCATTGTACAAGAAATACCACACTAATAAAACAAATTCCTCTCTAGTGAATTAGGTTACATGGTATAAATGTTATGAAATGGGAAAAACTTGGTGGTTGTATCAAAATAATAATTAAAATAAGGCATGTACTATTGACAGCTCAGAAATGTCCAGTTGAGTATCATATTTTACATGTATTATATCTTAGATATTCCTATTTCCATTTTAGATTAGTAAACTAAAACTAAGTTGAAAGACTCTATATTACGTTTTATTTTTCCTTTTTTTAATGAGTCAAAATTAATACGTGATATTTAGTATCAAAGTCAGAATTAATTCTAGATCCCACTCATTACAGAGTCTGTTGGCTGAATTACTAAATTATGAATTTTAATTTATTGCAGTTACTTGCACAACTAAGGTAACATTCATTAATTTGGATAATTATAGAATCTTTCAGGAAATTTTAACCAATAATTTTGTTCCAATAATTAATGAAACAATATATACATATCATATTACATATCCCTTTTGTTACTTAAAATTATGTATTTTAAAATATTAATTTTTGTTGTTTTGTTTTCATTATTGTTTATGTTTTGGACGAGATTAGCATGCCATTAACAAAATTTCATTATAATTTAAACTTTCTCAGAATATAGCAATAATGAAAGACATACTAAATAAAAATTATTAGTGTAGGAAATGCTAACACTGCTATTTCTTCAATAGAACATTCATTCTTTAACCATTAGTTTTAAAAATTGACATAAAAATGGTTGCATCATTTTTTCTAAGTCACCATTTTCATTTAAATACAGTTACACAAATGATTAAGATGCTGCTGTGGAATATAACTAATTAATAAAGATAATATTGGTTATGAACTTCTCAAATTTAGTTAAATTTTTTGCTTTTCATTTTCCAACCAGTACTATCATGTGAGCATGGAATAGCCTTTGAAAAACTACTTATTCTGTCATGAAACATATGTTTAAGTTTCCTAGGATTTTGTATTTTTTAAATTTTTTCATTGAGGTAATATTTTTTTACATCATTGTATGTTGGAGTGATGGGATCCGCCACTGGTGATACTACTTTAGTGCTCTAGGACTTTCGACCAGATATGTTGTTGTTCAACTGCAATGAATCTGTCACTCAGCTCACGCTCCGCCCATAGTGATCTGGCCCTGGGACAATTTCTTAACGGCCGAGAAACATTTATCACAGAGCGCAGTTCCTGACTTTACAGAGCAGCAGAGATGAACGAGCAAAGAATCACCTATGCAGAGCTGAAGCTGGCAAAGGACTCAAAAAGGCCGCAAGTGAAACCTAAAGGGAGTAAAAGCTCCACTACCGTAACAGAGCAGGGAGTAACCTACGCAGAATTAAGTCTTCACAATGCTGCTCGGGATCCTCAGGAGAATGGCAAGTCCTGTCACCTCAAAGGTAAAAGAAAAAAAATACTTAGCAGACGCACAGCAGAACTGTTCTGGGAGATGCAGAGAGGTGGAGGTGCACCAAGAATAGGGAATAAACTGACATATTTTTCATTTGTGAGGATCAGAATTTGGCATTGGAATATGGTTTTCTAGCAGGAAATCTGATGGGTCTTTTTTTCCAGGTATTGTTATAATTTATAATTGTTGACAAACAAAAATTCGTGGGTGTATTGTTTACTAAAAAAGCAATGTTATACTCTGGAGTAAAGATTCCAGTGGGAGATAGAAGTCACAGGTCCAAATTTATTTCTGTAACTCCCTGTGCATGTAGATTTTGTTATGTGTAAAGTGAACAACTGTCTCCATCCGTCCTTTCGCAGTGTTTCCATTTCTCTCCCTGCAGGCTTAGCAGCACCTCCAGAGAAGTGCATTGCTGGAACCTTGGGACTCACCTGCCTTGTCTTGATAGGCATTATTGTGGCAGTGTTGGTTATTTCCTGTAGGTAAATTTATGAAAGATTATATAATGGGACTTTTCACACAATGATTGTCAGTGCCTTTTAATATCTCATAATATTAAGGAATAGAACTATTGTGTTAATCTGACAGTTTAATTAAATGTTGAATGGTTAATCTCACCTATCAAAGCACAAATATACAGAATGATTGCAAAGATTATTTTATGTAGATTCAGATATCATGATTCAAAGTCACACTTTAGGAGACTGAAAGACTCTATTGAAAACTATGAAATGATTTTTGATATTTGGAGACTACAGACTGTAAAAGATGGTGAAATTTGACTCTAAATTTTTGTGATATTGTCTCCCAAATCTTTATTCTTTTGTTAATTTTTTTCAGAGACTTAATTTTATCATTATATGTCTATTATTATAACTCTACCTACATGCAATATTTCTAATTTTGGAATATTAAATTGATTATTACTTACTGAAAAGTTTAATTTTTATAAGCATTCTCATATTTTTCTAGATACTACTGAAGAGCCAGAGCAGAATGGTTTCTCCTCAGAGCAGAATGATTGCCCAAATGGAACAAAAAACCAGGAAGGTACACAATGATTCCACAATTCTGATGTTAGTACAGTTTATATTATGCATATATGTTAGACTGGGTAAAAAGGTTACAAATTTTCTGGTAAAACATACATTATGAAATCAAATAAAAATATTCATGAATAAAGATAATAGGAGGGGGTTCATCATCTGCAAAAACAGGAAGAAAATTCACTTAGAACCTCTACACCCATGGGGCCTATTGGCTCATGTCCTGTTGCTATTATATCTATATAAACAATTCTGCTATTAAAAATGACTTTATTTACTCTTGTCAGGACTTACACAGTGCATATTACTTGTGTGAATTTGATCCATATGGACAAATTAATTATAGCATGAGAAGCTACCTCTTATCTGTGATTGTGTGTTGTATGTACTAGCTGTGATGTGTGTGCACGTGTTATGTACATGCATATTCATATCTAGTTGTGTATATGATATGTTTTATATTATTAAAACAAATAATTTTAGTTAATAAGTCATAATTTCCCTTCAGAATACCATTGTGGCCCTTGTCCACAGGGGTGGTTTTCATACTCCAACAACTGCTATTACTTTAGTGCTGAAAAAAAAACCTGGAAGGAGAGTGTGACAGCCTGTCAGTGTATGAACTCTCAGCTGCTCTACATAGAATCTGAGGAAGAAATGGTAAGAAATTCAGTGTCTCAACCACTTTATTGAAAACATTTCACTCAATTTTATACGTGTAGAACTCAGAGATTTTTGTACAAATTTGCAGTTTATTTTCAAGTTTGTATAACATTCCATTGTCTGATATTGAGGATTTTACTAAAAACTTTAACCAGTTAACAAACATTTAAATACCCAGTTCTTGGTTTTCTTAGAGAACCATTATTCCAATATACATATATATAATATATGTGTGTATATATATTAAAAAGATAGCTGTTTTATATACATCAAGAAAGGTGAGTATTTTTGATCGGGCAGTGAGTGAAAATTGTGTCTGCAGAGCAGATCCTGAATAGAAGTCATAGCCCCTAGTGCACCCCAGACACCCTGTCTGTTCTCTCTTCACTCTTACTGTCTGGTTATTTAATCACTGATTTAACTCTTGATTTCATAGATCTTTTTCTTGCCTATGAACTGAAATGCAATCATACGTGTATATGTTTTCGTTCTCATAAAGTCACTCCCCTGTAATCCCTCAGTAATCCACATGCATATTGCACTTATCTGCAATTTGCTAATTTTCGCTGCAGAATTTTTTGATATAACATTTTAAAATCCATTCTGTTTAATGTGTCAGGTGCCCAAAGTGAGCGTCATCGTCTCAGAGAAAAAGAAGCTTCCTGGGTTCAGTATTTTCAGTCATAGGGTCCCCTTACTTGTCCCAACTCCACCTTCCCAGTCCTGTTCATGTGTCCCTGGTGGTGGGAGGTGAAGCGTGTCCTGGCTGCTGACCCTTGTCACTGTCCTGAGGCATCACCCTTGTCAGGCTGCCCTGCTGTTGCACAGGACCCCTCACCTCAGGGAGGAATGGCTGCCCTGAACCCCTCCTGTTGTAGGTTTGTACTGACAGGCAGTAACCCTGGTCAGACTTTTCCTTGTTCACATGACAACAAAAATGAAGTTCCTAATTATAAATGTTTAGGAGCTCATGTTATATAATTGTGATGTACCTGTGAGAGTTTTGGCATCGTGCTGTTAGTTTTCACCACACTGTGTGTATATGGTTTGCGATTGGAATCTGTCTCTTCCTTCTGAAAATGTAGAATATTTTGAAAGAACACATTACTTGTGTTTTTTAAAAAAGGAAGCCTTTCACATTCCTATGTAAGTGAAAAGTCATTATATTTGAATAGAAATTTATGGAATTCATACGGGCTTTGTCATGGATTGGAGTCTACCGTTCTGGCAGCGATCAGCCATGGACACTGGTAAATGGGTCAGCTTCTGAACTAGAGTAAGTTGTATTTAAATAATGTTATATGGGCCTCCCCTGGTGGCGCAGTGGTTGAGTGCTGGGCTGCGAGTCTGCCTGCAGCCTCTGCAGTGCTGGTCCCACAAATACCGGATGGTCTCACTCATAGCAGGAATCTAGAAAACTTAAATAAGGGACCAGGAAAATGAATAACTATTAGAAAGTGAAAATCAAAATCAACAAAAAACTATGAACCAGAGACACTTTTAGGGGCGGGGGCGGGAGGGAGGGATTGGGGTCAGAATGGGGGGCTGCAATTGTATGGGGAATATAAAAATAAAATTTATTATTTAAACAAACAAACAAACAAAAAAACCTAAAAAATGTTATAGTAGCATTAAAAATGCTAGTGTTTCTTGGTTTGCCCCACCATTATAGAACTTAAGAGAAGAAAGGTATGAAAAGTAATATAAGAAGAATGATGTTAGTGCTTTGAATTTAAATTACAGACATGAAGAATGGTGTTGAATGTGAGTAGAATCTTGATAAATATTGAAGAAAGGAAAGCTCAGTTTTTCTTTGTCCCAACTCTGGCAATATTCCAAAATGTTGTCTTCATCCATTTTCAAAATATGCTTGCATTGCAACTAAAAGCAATGCTGTTGTTCCTTGGTTTGCCCCAACATTCTATAACAACAGAATTATGTCTTTTTCTTTATTACAGGATAAGAGAATCAGCATCTGCTAACTATCACTGTGTTACCCTACAATCTACCTATTATGCAGACAATTGTGGATTTCCAAAGATGTATTATTGCAAGCATAAGATGTAAATTAAAAAAAAAAAAACAACAACTAAGTTTGGATTTATTTGTGTAACTTTCCAATTCAAGAAATGTCTTATTATTGAGATTGTTTTTTGTTTTAATGACATTTTTTTCAAAATAATTATTTAAATACAGTATCTTCAGCCAGAAGTACAGATAGCATTACTTTAGTGCCTGTCATTTTTTGTGGTTTTCAACCTTTTAAAAGATCATTGGAGGCCTCCCTGTTGGCAAAGGGGTTAATTACAGTGCTATCAAGCTATGGCCAGCCACTGCAGTATGAGTTAGATCCACAGGGAGCAACCCACATGGCTCAGCAGACCTCTCCTGCCTAGCCTGCTGCTCCCCTCAGCAGTGTACTTCAGTCTGCCTGTTCTGTTCTCCACTCTGTCTCTGGTGAATCTGGTCACCCCCCACACCTCTAACCTATACCCATGTTCTTATATGCATAAATAAATAAATCTTTTTTTTTTTTAAAGAAATCTCATTTGCTGTGTGAGTCCAGTTATAAGTAATGACAAAATCACTTTCATACAGAAACTGTATTGAGGGTAGAAAGGGACTGAGGGGAGGTGGGATGAGGAACTGGCCACTGATCTGTTCTCTGTTTCTTTTTGAAGTGATGGAACATTTTCAGTGCCAACAGTAGTGATGTTTGCAAACTCTGAACATGGCAAATGGCTTTGATTTATTCACTTTACATGGCTGAATTTTATGCTTTATTTATTATATGTCAATAAATTGTTTAAAAAATTCTGCAATGACCTTTGAGAACATTTAATCTTTAAAGTAAGTTGGAGTTTACACATCTTTACCTTATTTATTTTTTCAATCTACATCAACCTTATTCCTTCCTTAAATTTGATTTTTTTTCTCATTATGCTTTGTGTTTTTACAGAAGACATAGGGAAATGATGTTATGCTTTCGTAAATACACTTCATTTAAAAAGGTTTGAACTATCTGTCAGCAATATTTGGTGCTGTAAAAAACAATACAACTGAAGTTGGCTCATTGGATTTATGTGCAGTATTTTTCCTGACTTTATGTATTAATTTTATCAATCGAATATATGAATCTATAATGAGTATATGAATTATCAATTTTGATGTAGTTAGTTATTTTATTGTAAATAGTCACATGTTGTTTCTTCTTTCCAAGTGCAATTACCTTTTTTAATTGGCTTTTCACGGATCGGAGTTTTATATCCAATGTTGAGTAGCAGTTACTGTGATTGATCTCTATGTTTTCCCATTTTGGGGATAACGATTTCAATATTCATTCTTAGATATGAAGTTTATGGTAACTTTTTCATCACCACTATCCAATTAATATCTTGCCATCACATTCTCATTTTTTATAATGGTTTGATATTATGTTTTTATTCTTTTTGCATCAATTGGAATGAGAAATGTTTTCTTTATAAAATGATTATGAAGTAAATCATCTTTATTTCTTTCAAATATTAGATTATCTTGCATTTTTGAAATAAAACTATAGCAATCTTTCTGTGGGCTCTTTATTCATGCATATATTTGATTTAAATCAGCACATTTTTCTTTCTTATTCTCAAAAAGAAAAGACTAAGTTTGAGTTCACAGCTATGCATTAGAAAGTTTTTGAATGAAGGCTACATTGGGAAGGTTTCCTGTTTCTACTACCCAGAGTTCTTTAGTATTTAAGTGTTGTTTCACGGCTGATATCATCTGAGAATATAAACCTATTTTAGGGTAGTTTTATGTAAAAACTCAGTAGCTGTAACACATGTGACGTTTCTTGATGTAGAACTATTTGCTGTACAACTTCTTGCTGATTACATTTTCTTTTTTTTTATTAGATAATAAATTTTATTGTTATATTCCCCATACAATTGCAGCCCCCCCATTCTGACCCCAATCCCTCCCCTCCCGCCCCCGCCCCCCTAAAAGTGTCTCTGGTTCATAGTTTTTTGTTGATTTTGATTTTCACTTTCTTATAGTTATTCATTTTCCTGGTCCCTTATTTAAGTTTTCTAGATTCCTGCTATGAGTGAAACCATCCGGTATTTTCTTTTTCTTTGGCTTATTTCGCTGAGCATGATCCCTTCCAGCGCCATCCATGTTGCTGCAAATTGCATGTGTTTATCTTTTTTGAATGCTGAGTAATATTCCATGGTATATATGTACCACATCTTCTTGATCCAGTCATCTATTTTTGGGCATTTGGGTTGTTTCCAAAGCTTAGCTATTGTAAACAGTGCTGCTATAAACATAGGGGTGCAGGTGTTCTTTGGAATTGATGTTTCTGTGTCCTTTGGGTAAATACCTAGGAGTGGAATTGCTGGATCATATGGAAGCTCTATGTTTAGTAGGTCCAGAAATCTCCACACAGCTTTCCACAGTGGTTGGACCAGTTTGCACTCCCACCAACAGTGCAGAAGAGTTCCTTTTTCTCCACACCCTCGCCAACATTTGTTGTTGCTAGTTTTTTTAATATGTGCCATTCTCACTGGTGTAAGATGGTATCTCATGGTAGTTTTGATTTGCATTTCCCTGATGACAAGTGATGTTGAACATTTTTTCATATGCCTGTTGGCCATTTGCATTTCCTCTTCAGAGAAGTTTCTTTTTAGCTCTTCTGCCCATTTTTTGACTGGATTATTTTCTTTGTTGTTGCTGAATCTCATCAGCTCTTTGCAGATTTTTGTGATCAGTCCTTTATCATTAGTGTTGGGTGCAAAAATGTTCTCCCAGTTGGTGGGGTTTCTCTTTGTTTTTGTTATTGTCTCTTTTGCTGTGCAGAAGCTCTTTAATTTGATGTAGTCCCAGCTGTTTATCTTCGCCTTCACTATCACTGCTTTGGGTGATGTGTCTGTAAAGATGTCTTTGATGTGCAAATCACGTAGTGTTTCGCCTATATTTCCTTCTATATATTTTATGGTTTCAGGTCTTATGTCTAGTTCTTTAATCCATTTTGAGTTGATTTTTGTGTATGGTGTGAGGTAGTGGTCAAGCTTCATTCTTTTGCATGTAGCGACCCAGTTTTCCCAGCACCATTTATTGAACAAACTTTCTTTGCTCCAATGCATAGTCTTTGCTCCTTTGTCAAAGATTAGTTGACCATAAATCTGTGGGTTTATTTCTGGATTTTCTATTCGATTCCATTGGTCTGTATGTCTGTTCTTGTTCCAATACCATGCAGTTTTGATGATTATGGCTTTGTACTATAGTTTGAAGTCTGGGAGTGTGATGCCTCCATTCCCTTCTTTTTTTTTCAGGAGAGCTTTGGCTATTCGGGGTTTTTTGTGATTCCATATGAATTTCATCAATAATTGTTCTATTTCTTTGAAGAATGACATTGAAATTTTGATTGGAATAGCATTGAATCTGTATATTGCTTTTGGAAGGATGGCCATTTTAATAATGTTTATTCTTCCAATCCATGAGCAGGGGATGTCTCTCCATTTCTTTGTGTCTTCTTCTATTTCTTTTAACAGTGTTTCATAGTTTTATTTGTATAGGTCCTTTACCTCTTTTGTTAGATTTATTCCCAAATATTTGATTTTTTTTGTTTCAATAACGAAAGGGATGGTTTTTTTGATTTCTTCTTCTTCAGATTTATTGTTTGTGTATAGGAAGGCTACTGACTTTTGCGTGTTGATTTTGTATCCTGCCACTTTACTGAACTGATTGATGAGTTGAATTAGCTTTTCTGTGGAGTTTTTGGGGTTCTCTATGTATAATATCATATCGTCTGCAAATAGTGATAGTTTGACTTCTTCTTTTCCTATTTGGATTCCTTGGATGTCTTTCTCTTGTCTTATTGCCCTGGCTAGGACTTCCAGTATTATATTGAAAAGCAGTGGTGAGAGTGGACATCCTTGTCTTGTTCCAGATCTTAATGGAATTGCTTTCAGCTTTTCACCATTGAGAATGATACTGGCTGTTGGCTTGTCATAGATGGCCTTTATGATGTTAAGGTATGTTCCTTGTATCCCAAGAATTTCAAGGGCTTTTATCATGAATGGGTGTTGCACTTTGTTGAAAGCTTTCTCAGCATCTATTGATATTATCATATGGTTTTTATATTTCTTTTTGTTGATGTGTTGGATAACGTTGATTGATTTTCGGATGTTAAACCATCCTTGTGTCCCTGGAATGAATCCTACTTGGTCGTGGTGAATTATCTTATGGATACATTGTTGGATTCTGATGGCTAGAATTTTATTGAGGATTTTTGCATCAGTGTTCATTAGGGAGATTGGCCTGTAGTTTTCCTTTTTTGTGTTGTCCTTGTTCGGTTTTGGTATTAGTGTAATGTTGGCTTCATAGAACGTGTTTGGTATTGTCCCTTCCTTCTCAATTTTTTGGAAGAGTTTGTGAAGGATAGGCACTAATTCGTCTCTGAATGTTTGGTAGAATTCATTTGTAAATCCATCAGGTCTTGGGCTTTTGTTTTTGGGGAGGTTTTTGATTACCATTTCAGTTTTGCTAATTGTAATTGGTCTGTTTAGGTGTTCTATTTCTTCTTTATCTAGCTTTGGGTGATTGTAGAGTTGTAGGAATTTGTCCATCTCCTCTAGATTGTTGAACTTGTTTCCATATAACTGTTCATAGTAGTTACTGATTATTCTTTTGATTTCTGCTGTGTCCGTTGTGATTTCTCCTCTTTCATTTATGATCCTGTGTATTTGTGCTTTCTCCCTTTTTTCCTTTGTGAGCCTGGCTAGGGTTTGTCTATTTTATTGATTTTTTCAAAGAACCAGCTCTTGGTTTCATTGATCTTTTGGATTGTTTTTTTAGTTTCAATTTCATTTATTTCTGCTTTGGTTTTTATTATTTATTTTCTTCTACTGGTTTTGGGTTTTTTTGTTGTTCTTTTTCTAGATCTTTGAGCTTCGAGATTAGGTTGTTTCTTTGAGTTCTTTCTTGTTTCTTGATGTGAGCTTCTATTGCTATATATTTTCCTCTTATTACTGCTTTTGCTGCATCCAATACATTTAGGATATTGGTGTCCTCCTTGTCGTTCAATTCAAAGAATTTTTTAATTTCTTCTTTGATCTCCTCATTAGTCCAGTGGTCTTCCAGTAGTGTGGTTTTTAATCTCCATGAGGTAGTAAAGTTCCTTGCCTTCTTTTTATGGTTTATTTCTAGTTTGATGCCTTCATGGTCAGAAAAGATGGTTGATATGATTTCAGTCTTGGTGTATCTGTTGATGTTTGTCTTGTGCCCCAGTATGTGATCGATCCTGGAGAATGATCCGTGTGCGCTTGAGAAAAATGTGTACTCCGTTTTTTTGGGGTTTAGTGTTCTATAGATGTCTGTTAAGCCCAATTGCTCTAGGTCCTTATTTAGAGCTTTGGTTTCTTTACTTATTTTTTGTCTTGTTGATCTATCCATTGTTGATAGTGGTGTGTTGAAGTCTCCCACTACGTATGTGTTTTCTCTGATGTCTGTTTTCAGAGAGGACAACAGTTGTCTGATATATTTTGGTGCTCCTTCGTTTGGTGAGTATATGTTAATGAGTGTTATTTCTTCTTGAAGTATTGTCCCCTTGATCATAATGTAGTGACCATTGGGGTCTCTTTTTATCTTTTTGAGTTTGAAATCTGTTTTATCTGATATAAGTATAGCTGTTCCTGCTTTCTTTTTTGGTCCATTTGCTTGTAGGATCGTTTTCCATCCTTTAACTTTGAGCCTATTTTTATCTTTTGTAGCTAAATGTGTTTCCTGGAGACAGCAAAAGGTTGGGTTTTGTTTCTTAATCCAGGCTGCAACTCTGTGTCTTTTTATTGAAGAGTTTAGTCCATTTACATTTAGAGTTAATATTGATATGTTAACATCTGTATTTGCCATTGTGTTTGTCTTTCCTTTGATTTTATTTATTTATTCTTTTAATAACTTTTTTTTTTTGGCCTTCCTTCATTGTTATTCGTCCCTCTGAGGTTCTGGCTTTAGGACTCCTTGTAGTATTTTTTGGAGTGGGGGTTTAGTTGCAATGAAATTCCGGAGTTTCTGTTTGTCTGGGAAGGTCCATATTCTTTCTTCAAAGAGGAAGGAGAGCTTTGCGGGATAGAGTATTCTTGGTTGGCATCTGTTTTCTTGGAGTCTGTTGACTATGTCCCTCCACTCTCTCCTTGCCCGTAGTGTTTCTTCGGAGAAGTCTGATGTCAGCCTGATTGGCTTTCCTTTGAATGTTATCTGTTTCTTCCCTCTTGCCAGCTTCATTATTTTTTCCTTGTCCTGGATTCTTGGGAGCTTTACTATTATGTGTCTTGCTGTATTTTTCCTTTCGTCGTGGAAGTTTGGTGTTCTTCTTGCTTCTTGTATATCAATTTTCAGCTCCTTCACATTTGGGAAGTTCTCTTCAATTATCTCTTTGAATATTTTCTCTGTTCCTACTTCTCTCTC